CGGGGGCCAGGCCGGTGGCGGAGCTTGTCCGGCGTCGGGGCCCAGGCGGGCGGTGAGGGGCGGGGTCCCCACCTCCCACCAGCGGGCAGGGCGGCGGGCTCGCGGGGTCGACGCCTGGGCGCCGGGTCTGCGGGGCAACGCACCCTTTGTCCGACGACGGCTCCTGATTGGCTCCCTGGGAGCGACCTCGTGCTCGGGACCACTCCCCTGAGTCACAGAGCCAGCGCCCACCCCAGCTCGGGAGCGGGGCACCCCGTCCCTCTCTGACGCCTCAGCCGCACCGAGATCACAGAGCTTGCTCACTCTGGGAATCACTGTGGGAGGGTTCGGAGGTGGCTTCCTGGAGGAGGTGCCCTAAGAAGAAGGGACTCTTGAGCCAGCTGCGCAAGTACCCGGGCTAGGGGCTTGCGATCCTCGCATGGAAGAGTCTTGCTTGAATTGGGGAAAAGCTCAGAAAGCTGGAGTGACAGCCCCAAGGCCACACAGGCAGTAGATTCACACCCAGGCCGGAGGACTCCCACGGCGGCGGCGGCCTTTTTCCTCCCGGTCAGGAAACGGAGCCAGGCAGGGAGTGGGCACAAGGCCCAGACCCGAGGGCACAGCTGGTCATCACGCCCGCTTTGCCCCCCAGAGGATGGCTTGCCTGGAGCAGATCCCCGTTTCAAGACCCCTTTCCCCTTCTGCACCGAGTCTCAGGGTCTGGCTAAGGGTGTGGGGTAGGGGAGGTGGGCAGGATGGGCGGGAGGGGATGTGAAGGGCCACTCACTCCCTTCCCTGCCTCACATCCTAGGAATTCCTGCCCTCTGGAAAGGATCGTGTCACTCAGGAATTTCCCGGCCAGGCACCAGCTTCCCCCTGCTTGTTACTGGAGTCTCTCTCTGCTCCTCCCGCTGTGGGGCTCCTCTTTTCCTCCCCTGCCCGCCCCCTCCTTCCATCCTGGGCACAGGTCTTTGTGAGCTGGGGTGAGCGGCATCCAGGGGGTGCCCCTTGCAGCTGAGATTTCCTCTTCCTCTTCAGGAGTAGGGTTAGGAGGCCAGGCTTGCCAGCTTTGGGCTCGACTGCCATTCATCCTGCCCCTGTGCGGCTGAGGGAGGCACCGGAGGCCACCAGGAGCTGGTCTCAAGGCCACAGACCCCAGCCGGGCTCCCTGAGACCCTAGTGACATTTCCTAGATGGCCTGCCAAGCTGCAGTGCCCAGATAGGAGGCTGTCTGTGCCCATGGAGCACAGATGGGCACCTGAGGGTCACAGCTGAGGGTGGGGTGGTGACACGGCTGAGAACCACGGGGTCCTGGCGCACTGCCTGCTGGGGCTGCCTGCACGCCAGCCCGGCCTCCTTGCGCAATCCCCACCCAAACCACCAGACCGTTCCACTAGGCCTCCCCTTTCACTGGGGAAATCTACAGCATTCCTGGGTGGAGCAAATGTGAGTGTGTGTGTGAGTGTGTGTGTGAGTGTGTGTGTTCTGCAAGAACCTGCTGTCCCTCCAGAGCCCCCGGTCAGCATGGGCTTTGCAGGCCATGACCTCGCCCCTAGATGCCCACAGTGGCCTGCCCAGAGCAGAGGTGGGGACTGGAAAAGTGGACACACCTTGTGTGACCACACCAGTCACTTCCCCCTGAGTCCAGGTGTGAGGGCCAACAGTCACATGAAGTCCCCCACACCAGGGACCCTGCTACAAACTGGGCTGCATGAGAGCCGAGGGATGGCGGCCAGTGGAGCTCACGGGGCAGGGCTGTTCTAGACACAGTCCCAAGAGGATGGACATGTTCAGAGGGCCAGAGGCCAGCTAAGAGTTCCACCCCAGCAGGAAATTAGCAGCAGATGCAGGTGGCTGGTGTTTGTGACCCACTGCTGTCCCAGTCCCACCTCCCAGGTGGACTGGCCAGGAGCAGTCTGTCAATGACCCTCCAGCTCAGCCCAGAATTCACTGTGGCAGCACCTGGCCAGCAGCCAAGGTCAGCTCATCACATGCACTGGGGACCCTCAGGCCAGGACACATGGGGCGGTCCTACCCCCGCTTAAGCAACAATAGCTGGCCGGTTCTATCGTGTTGTTGGTGGCAAAATACACAAAGCAACCTTTACCATTGA